TACTCCTTTCTGCATACATTCAGAATGTCGTTTTTGATTTGAGTATATTTTGTATAGATGTAGAGCAGTAGTTTCTAGACATTTTCATGAAAAAGAAAGAAATAATTGCTATTCCTCAATTTCAATGGACAATATTCATTAGATTTAAATTTTCATCTTAAAAATAGTTATACGATTCTACTTCACCTGTTGTATATTTATTCGAGGGGACATTAAAGTATGTAAACATTTCTTTTTTACCATATTCAGCAGAACAAAGCTATTTTCGGAATGAAGTGTTGAATGTAAACGGCGCGCTGTTCCTTTTCCGCAGCGAAACGCAAGGGCCGATGATTAATACGTCATTATAGGGCATTTCACACGGAGAAGTGAAATAGTATCGCGCTAACACTTTAGTAGTAATAGAGTGTATTTGTATTGGCAGTAAAACGTAAGTTTACCGAGCCAAAACGTACATTGATAAAGTAAACTGAGATAGAACATGGCAATTGTGTAAATAAAGAAATCAATAAATTACATAATAGTCAATAAACATATACGTTACGTTGTCGGATGAAAATAAAGTTGTTACCATGCCTTGGAAGAAGAACTTTACCAGCAGGCCAGCAATTACATTCACTGCTTAAACGCCTTCGCGTCAGTAATCCATGCAAAAAAATTTTCCATCTAAATCGCAGGTGTATTCATGTGACGCTCACCTCGGCCACCTCCTTGTGTGTACGCCGCGGCGTGGTTCTCCCGCGCTGCTGCTGGCCTCTGGCGAAGAATATTAGAAACTCTCTCTCAGCGAGAGGCGAAAAATGATGATCGTGGTGCATCATTTAAATAATTTATTTTCTCCATTTTCGTATTTGTACTAATCTTTAACAAACTCTGCAAGGACACTCCGTCAAATTCTGAAGAAAAACCCGTAAATAGTTCGTATCAATTCGTACCCCCCTGTTTGTGGATTCAATGTCCATTACTTGTCGGTGAATTCACTTTTATTTGTAGAAAATTTTTGTAGTGTGTATATGATACTACCTAATATTACTTTTTAAATAACTACATAATTCTTACATAAATAAATATTGAAATCAATTTTTCCAAATAAAGGCAGGTAACAAACGAAAAATTGTAGGCCTTTTGAGGAGCGGCATGGCCACCACGCCACGCTCGATCTGCCACTACGTTAAGAGCAAATTGGTTCCTAACGTAATCCACAAGTGGCCAGAGGCGGTGCGGCAGAGCTGGTAGCTAATGGTTTGGTTCTTATTCTTTTTTTAGCTAGAGGTCAGTAGTGATGCAGCAGAACTGGTACCTAACAGTTTGCTAGAAGTCACTAGTAATTCGTAAGATAATAAGAATTAATCTAATAGCAATGTGGTGTAAAATAAAATGAATGCAATTTATAGTGCTATATTAAAATCTAAACCCATAAAAGTTAAAAGAAAAAATTTAAACAGTAATATTTATAAAATTGATCTTTTTCGTTTTCACAAGGACTGGATATGAAAAAGCCCGAACAACGCCGGATATTGTGCTAGTTTAGTATATTAGGCAACATATTTGATTTTAAGTTATGTCAAAGTGAAAATTAAATAAATCATTGTATTATTCATGAAATCTAAGTGCTTTTAGTCGCTCGGCTGATTCAATGTATTTCACAGATTCTCAATTAAAAAGTGACTTATATTCCTCGTCTAATAAAATACTATTACACATTTCCCTATCGAATCTAGCAATGACTTTAATATCATACCGTCGCATGAAAGCTCCACGAGATTTGAAAAGTTTCGCCCACTGGCTTCATTTAAATTGTGACTGCTCTAGTACAAAGAAACGAAAAAATGAAAGTTATATTACTAAATTCTCTAAATATATTAACGCTTGTACAATGTTTACTTTTAATAGAAATAATTGCAGATAAATACTTTTTATTTATATTAAGCAATGTGTTCATTTTTAGTTTTAAATGTTCCAAATAATATGAAATAATATAGCAGAAAGTATTGTTTAAAATATTTTATAACATGAATAGCCATCTGATTTTGTTTTACATTCGCTGTTAGGAATAAACAGGAACATCATTACGTATTTTGAGCAAATAATGAGTTCATTCCATTTACTGTGAAATGCCATAAGTGTTTCCGTTTGTTGTGAAAACTGCATTGTAACGCCACTTAATGACGAAGTTGAGAGAATAACTGTTATATATAAGAACTGCACATCTGAGAACCATTTTCTCGCCAATCGCCGAGTTCATGCGCCCGCGCCCACGCCTGAGCCCGTTATTTTATTCATCGGGCGCCGGCGGAGTTGGATCTATTCATCATACTCGGCAGGCCTTGGGCAGCGGGGCGGAACGGCGCTGGAAATCATATCACACAAGGAGCCGGCGAGGAACTGGCGCGGAGTTTCGAATAGGTTTAAATGGCCAAGTGGCGGCGTGCGGCTCGGCGCGGGGCCGGGCGGGGCGGCGGGGCGGGCGGGGCGGGGCGGGGGCGACGGGCTCGGCAAGGCGAATCTGGGGCGGGCAGGGGTGGCCAACTTGCGGTACCCGCGGGGCCGTTCGTTGTGGCCCGAGAAAGGTCATTCGTCAAAAGAGAAAGTTCCTGCAACCAGGTCGAGCGAGAGCATCACGCGCCTAGCGAAGGCGCTCTGTCAGCGCCGACTTCCCGTTAATGTAGTTGTTTAGCTTAAAGAATTATTTCCTATTAATTTCAAAAATTCAAAATTATTCCAAAGTGTTTCACTGCGTTATGTGTGGTACGGCCTGGTATCACGAATGGTTTCATTTCCGTTTTTCCGCCTCCCCCCTCCTGTTCAAGGCAATCTGCCGACGTAAACAATACGGCAAATTGAGGTTAGAATTGCCTGAGTACAGCTCGAGATTAAAGCTTATAATGGTGGCCCTTGAGGCCTTGCAAATTGAACATCCCTGGTATAGAGGGAAGCAGTTTTGCATTGGCGGCCCGGAGGCATTATGTTAGTCCGCTGAAAGAGAAGTTACGAACTCGCATATGGCCTGCGATGGGGGGGGGAGGATGTGTTACGTACGAGGAAACTCTTCGCGGTGTTCGGCCGTGCAGGCTATTGGGGCTAGAAAATTGAATCCTAAGCAGGCCGTACGGAATTAGTGGCAGGTAGAGCCAGATTCAGTTCGTTCTACTATCGATTATTCTCGCTGGCTTACCTTTGCAGAGACGGAGAACAGGCGTGCGCCCGTCTGCCTGTGACAACTACAGTGATGGGAGAAGTGCGTCAAAAAAGGATTTGGGGTCCATTGCAGCTACCTGTCAAATATCGTACTCAATTACAATTATAGTTGTATTTTCAGCATGTCATTATTAAAATTTCAATTGCAATTCCAAGCACGGGAAGGGATGAGTCGTTCATGAACGAACTAATCTTCGGCACACTGGGATGCTGCCACGGAAATTCTCCTATTCTGTGGATGAGGGTCTCTCTATCAGCCTAGTTTGTGATGTAAATAAACGTACACATTTATTAGTCCGCAACAAGAGGTACTTTTCGAGAGAAACTAAATAGGTGTATTTTAAAAAATACTTATAATTACATTCAAGTTAATTGTTACAACAAAATAATAATTACAATTTTATATCAAGGAGTAAATAGGCAAAGAGTAGTACCCTAACAAACGAGTCACGAACAGCGCGCGATCTTTTGTTCCTATTCCTGGTCGTCATCCCTTACATAAACTTCCACTAACATGCACTACACTATCACATGCCGGTGGACCGGTCGCAAGCTTAGAGCTTGTCCTTGTTTAGGCAGAGCCCTGCTGGTGGGAGAAACCTGGCTGTGGGAAACCCCGGTAGGCGACGGTATGTCGCCGCCCGATCTCGCCATCCAGGGGGGAAGATCACCGCCACCCCAACCAATAGCTCCGGGAGGGACGAGATCGAACAGAGCAGTGGCTTGGGGGGGGGCGAAGACCGAAAGATCATCCGAAGCGCCTCTAGCCTTCTACCATGTAGGGCAATCTTGACAGACGCAAATCCGTCTGGCCACATCGACATGGCACGGAGCCGTCAGACATCTCTGGTGGCAGTAGCAGAGACCACATCTGTCGACGAAAGTGAAAGTATATTCCTTGCTCTGGACGAAACATTAAATAAATAAAAATAAATGTATAATTAAACAGAAAATGTACAAAATAAAATAAACAAAATAAATAACATAAATTAGAGCCAACATTGTGTTTTAGTGAGAGTATTACTTGCTCAACTTTCCCTTGTTTATAAATGTCACTTAACCTTTATTTTCATTGAAGAGTATGAACAATGATAGGTCTTGGGAAAATTTAATTGTAAACTGAAGACATCGGAGCTCACTATTTCGAATTGTTAGTGGGTAGAAAGGGCGGTGTTCCTTATTCTTGAGTGCCCTACTATTGTTAATACAAGAAACGTCTTATAATTTAAGGAACCTCATAGCAAAGATTCATTACTCAGTTCCAAAGACGGGTGTGCCAAAATAATAACATTTTTAGCAACTACAAAACTGTACAGCCTTATATAGCAGAATAATGAATTTCAACTTTCGTTAGATTAAACTTGTTGTGAAATTGTAATGAACTTTAAAATGTTTATCATGTCATAACTGTAACTTATGTGTGTATATACAATAGTACAACGACAGGGGTCGCTAATGATCTTGACGTTATAAAGCAACCATAAACAAAAAAATTAAAAAAGGGTACCGTTGAAGTCTGTCCTGTTCCTTTTTCTAATTATCAATTCTCATTGATGATTCTGTCAACACATCGGCTCAGGGTGCAATTATTTTCCTAGAAATTCCTAAGAAAGCTCTGATTAACTTAAAGATAATAAAAGTAAAATCTACTAATATAACTTCACATGTTTTCTCCTTTGCTCAAAAGATCGTACAAATAAAATTTCTTGTGAGAAGTGTTTTGTGACAATTATAAACAGAAATAATTCATTAACTTCGGATAAGAGATGCATATCTATAAAATGAATTACTTAATTTCTGTTTCAGTTCCTAGAAATTCTTTCATTTACAAAATAAGCTCCAGAACATACTTCAATTTTTATTTTTATAACATTTAAATTATTATCAAATATGTATGAGTACTTCAAAACAGTTATGCATTGAATATATTTTCCTTATAAAGGTACAATAACTTCAAAATGATTTGTTTCAGGACAATAAAACTATTTTAAATAAATAATCTACAAAACTGTATTTTATCATTTATAATATATTTCTCTGCCTTTAGTGTTTACTTTTATTGGGTAAATTCTGTTTCAATAATTTTAAGGCTTCGAGTGCATCAGTTTCCTCTCTACAGGCAACACTAAAAGCAGGACCACTTGTGTTTAACACGTCAATTTCATCCCACTTGTATATTATGTTAAAAACTACTTTTTCATTATTTAAAAAGTGCTAGTTACTTGAAATTATAAAATTCATTTAACGTTCGTTCCGCTTTTCGGAGAACATTATGAACATTAAATTGGAAATTGCGATATCACAATTTTCTGAATTTAATTCCTGGGCAATATATTTGGCGATGGAGCAAGCCGTTCCGGAAATGGGTGTAATAACTCTGGCCCTCCGGCCGATGATTTTGCTACGGTTGGACTGTGTGCCTACCCCGTGCAAAGTTTGCTCTTTATGCACACAACAGCGCGGGCGCGCAATCGTTCCCCGCTGACGTAGTGGCGGGCGGCAAAAACACGCCGAAGCGCCAAACAACCCGATTTAGCCATTTATTGGCGTTGCTAGGAGAAATATTTTGGGGATTTTGTTAGAGCACAGCTCTCGCTGATTTTGAAACGGGGACGTAAACGCATTATGTTTTCAAGCAAAACGTTATCACTACGTTGAAAAAAGAAAGAGCCGGAAAATGAAAAAATAAAACTCTACACCGAAATAATCTATCAATACAACTTCAGAAATGAATGGATGTATTTCACAATTTTCTAAAAATACAACAGTTGGATAATAATATACATATACATAATATACACAATACATACAAGATACACTATACATACACACAATAATATAATACACGCTACATACTAAACTCTTTCCTGTATTTGCCAAACTAATCTTGTCACCTTTGTCCTCAAATAACCACCTCATCTTATCCTGAATATTCCACCTTGCCCACATTCTTCTCTCCCGTGTGCTCTATAGGAAGTGCGATCTGTACAAAACACCAAAATACTAGGATAAATTTTGATAGTAAAATGACAAGGAAGAGCCATATCCACAACCTGATCATTCTCAAATGTTACAACTAGGGGGCTGACAGAACTCTTAGCACTAATGTACAAATCAATTGTTAGAAACTATGTAGATTATGGATCACTCATCTACAATTCTGTCAAAACAAATGTATTGAAGAAACATGAAACTATTATTATAATCAAGCCCTGATAATTTGTACAGGTTGCTTCGAGTGATGTAGGAAGCATCCTAGTAGAGGCTCAAGAACAATCATTAAATTTTTAAAGACAACTGCTGAGCATTAGGTATGTAGGTAAGGCTGAGTCTTTAATTAATCCTGTATTTCCCCCATCGCAAACTGCACATCAAGAGCACTCTTATCACAAACCACTCTATTCTAGAGTTCAAATTTTACTAAATTAGTTCAATATTAAGTACACTCATATTGGGAAACAAATAATTTCCTTTGTGCAACCTTGAATTATACCAAACGTCCAAATCGATTTGACTTTTAACACATCTCAAAAGAGAAACCTATCAACTGGCTCAGCAAGTTCTAGACTTTTATTGACACGAACTACTCGCAACTATTCTGTAGTCTCTATACATATAGGTACCAAGCAAATCGGAAAAGAAGCCATTGTATGCATGTCTGATAAAACTATTAAGTAGCAGCTCAAGAAATACGCCAGCCATGAAACTGCAAGTTCCTATGCCCACGATTTATTTCCAGATTATCGCCGCAATTGCTAAATTAGTGGTCAGTTCAATGAAAAATCAAGGCAAAATGAAATTATGCAAGATTTTGTTATCATCCCTTAGCTGACTATACAGTGATTTTCCATTTCAACACGTAGAAATATTTGAAGCGTCCCACGCGCCGGACCCACGTCGATCCACACGTTCGTGAGCTGAACTATCAGAGACTCGTAACCTTATCACAAAGCAACACTCGGTTCACAATGGTCTCCTTTCTCGAAACCCTTGCAATAGTCTTCACGCAAGGCCAATTTAACAAACGATGGCAGATATTGAATAATATTCTACAAAAAATTACTAATAACAAAATTGGGATGCGCCAAGAAACTATATCGTCGTCAAATCTGTCATAATGAGTATCATCATGCAACCGGTTGCAGGCTTCAAACGAAAAAAAGTGTACAATGGAATTTGTATATTAGACTAGTTGTATATGCATACATTTTATCAAAAATTAAAGCTTCAATATTTTAAGACAACTAAATTTATTATAAATCAACTCATTATATACATAACTCTTTGCAAAATTGTATCTCACTCTTTTACGTTTCGGAGAAACTAGTAAATTGTAGGAGTATTCGTTTTCCTTTCACTATGTCTTAATGTTTTGGTATGTGATGTACATTCAAGTGATTATGTTAATTTTAATTTATATACTAATTTTACTTTTATTAATTTGTTGACCATGCCCATTTGTATAATTTGAGATAACTATAATGTGTAAAAGTTTTTAATGATCAATAATTAATTATAATATGTCATTGAGATTGATGTTATGACGTTGGCACGTAAATCATCTACTCATAAGATTTTGAATATGATGAATGCCTATTTGGTAGGTCAAATTTTCCTTGTCCAAGGTGTTTTACATTAGATTCTTAACAGTAGTTTATTATAAAAATAAAGGGAAAGAATAAAATAAATATTGTTGTTTTCTGTATGAATTATAGCTTGAAGATGAAGACAAGAATTTCTGTGAGACGTTGTATAAGACTAAGGTATAGTGTTGCAAATACTGATGTGTATAAGATGAGTTGATTTATAATAAATAGAGTTGTCTTTAAAACGTTGAAGTCTTAATTAAATTATACAATGTGAGAAGGAAAAAAACCTTCATGGGCATTAACTGAAATCTGTAACTCTGGTTTTCGAAAGAAAAACACGCGTAACAAGGAAACCAGACAAAGCGAACCACCCAGACGCCGTTCTTTGATGCCCGTCCACACGTCAGCAACGTCGGCCTCGTGTGGCGCAAAGGGACACGTCCTGGAGGACAGGCAGGATGTGGTGGCTCTCGATTTCCTCTCGCTCTCGCCCCACGCGGTCGATAAACAGCGGTGCACGCGACCTTTCTCACACTCGGAAAGGCCTAGACTTACAATGAGTCGGTAAGTAACTACTACTGCAAAGTAGCCACTAAACTGCCTTTAGACATTGCCATTATCATATACAAATCCATCATCGGACCCCTCCTCATGTACGCCTAACCAATATGGACAAATGCTGCCACATACAACACACAAGAACTGCAAGTCACCCAAAACAAATTCTTAAGATGCATCACCCGAGCTCAGTGGTTCATCTCCAACGAGCAACCACACAGCGAACTGAGCGTCAAACCAATCACTCACCATATTGTGAATAACTCGCCAATAACTTTTACTCGAATCTGCACTCGATCACCCGAAGCAGAAATCTCAAACTGGGCAAATACACAGAACGTCAAACGCAAAGGGACAACAAATCCCTTACATGCATTCTTGGACATATTCACCAATATAGAATAGTAAATTAGATTAAGGTATATTGGTTGCCAGTAAATGAAATGTAAAGTTGAGCATTAACTAAACTTGATAATTTCATCCATAATATAAATAAATTTTAAAAAACTGAAGTATAAATGGCAAGAATTAATAGTTAGTTTTGAAACACTGATTCATCGTTATGAGTTTAAAGCAACCAACCAGAGGAGCAAAAGCTACTTTAAAAGGCAGGAGCTATTTTAATAGATCACCGTTCGTTAAAAACAATTCAAATAAATGGATTATGTGAAACAGTTGTGAGTGTTGCCATTCACAGAACATATACTTCTTAGTTCTATGAATTTTTCTTAAAATGTGGGTTTATAAAACTGATTGAACGACTCACGACCGATTTCACGAATAGCAGACTCTTTCTCAAAGACATTCTCTGAAAAACGAATCCAAATTTTTGAAGGCAAATTTGCGTAATGGTCCGGTCTGTACTCTTCTACAATATTCTTGAAGTTTATTTCAAGTGCAACATTAGGGAACCGAAAAATTGAGAACTATGAAAAATAATCGTCTTAAAGTGGCAAGAGTTTCCACCTGGGGAGAAGGTGAAGCAGTAACGAAAAGGTATGCCAGACTCAAAAAGATAAATTAAACAACTTTTACGAGAACGTCTGTGCCATTCTGTAGGATCACTGGTTTTTTTTATTTCTCTCCACAGGTTTAGTCGAATATTAAACTCCTCATGAGTGAGTGACAACGGGAGTCGTAGTAATGATTCTGACGACAAAACCATTAGTTGATGAGAAACATACATGCATACATACAACGTACATATTAGTTTAATATTCGTATCCGGCAACGTCTGTTAATTATCGTGGACTAAATGAAGGTCCTGTTTCTTCTGGGTTATGTCGATTAATCCATCTTGCCGGTAAATGATTACTTCAAAGTTCCCACAACCCCACGTTTACGACTATTCACGCGTTTCCAGCTTAACATTTCAGTCTTCAGATATTCTGCACCGCTCGAAATTCGCTTTCTGCTTCACAGCCGCTCCTTGCTAAGATTTCACTCTCCCTTCCCACACCTCGCCGTTGTGCGCTTCTCTCGTAGTCTTCTCTTCTCCTCTTCTCTTTGAACTGTTCAGCGCCGCCTTTTACTGCTGTCCCCTCGTCGCCTTCTCCCCCTCGTCCACCTCCCCCCCCCAGGCTTCTCCGAGGGCGACTCGGGCCGGCGCACATTGGGACGAGAAGCGTACCACACGTGGTACGTCGCGACGAGGCAAAAGGTCAAAATCTCTCGCAAAATGCAAAATGGTGATTGTATCGGGGTCTCGATCGCACGGAATATGAATATGATACCTCGAATCAAAAATTAAAAATCTCTTATGCAATATGGTTGATGGCATTCGAAAAAACGTCGAACAGCGCAACAAGTATGACTACATATAAGTTTTCGATTACAAATTTGATATCAAAATTGAAAAATACAAGATGGTGGATCCAATTGTGTGTGTGTGTGTGTATATATAAAATGTATTAAATGTGACATAAATATGTTGATTATCACCACACTGAGGATTAATTTATATATATATGACAAATTTCAAACTGAAGGTGAAATCAAGGTGAAATATTGGAAAACAAATTTCAACTTTTTGGGTTTCTGGAAGAATAATATTTTTAAAAAATTGAAAAAAATATTTTTTTGGAATGCCTTCCTACAACCACAGTATTGTAGGTAGAGACTTATATCATTCATGAAATGTGTCCCTTAAAGACGGATCTTTAAATAAGGTCATTTTTAATGTTTTGAAAGTAAAAATAAACACAATAGAGCCCTATTTTCTACCTAAAAATAGCTTTCACCTGACAGGTCGTCAGTGAAAAGCAATGGATCAAGTAAAGGAATATAAATTAAATGTCAAATAACTAGAAATACCTTCCTTGTCGAAAAGTAAATGGATTCCAGCCAGTGTCGTAACACGTGTTTGTAAATAATAAGCACATGCCGTCAAGTCGAAAGATAATTGCAAAGCGTTACAGATGATTCGCACACTGTGAAAGAATAAGCTGTTTCGCACACGGAAAACGCACGAAAAATCGCGTTTCGCGCACGGCGTGTTAAGAACATTTTTTTCGGTTTTTGGCCAGGCATTCGGCACTTCATGCCAATGCGCTCCGCCGCCGCCGCCGCCGCCGCCTTCCCTTATTGGCGTAAGGGATTCCGAACGTACAAGGCTTTCCGCTGGCGCCCCTGCCTTTCACTGGCTTACAAGCCGGGGTAGTCTCTTCCCGGGCGGCCGAGGGCATTAAAATAAATATGCAGGCCCCTCCTGCTGCCCCGGG